CCATCGCCATCGCCATCGCCATCACCATCGCCATCACCCACAACCGCCTCTTCGTCTCGCGTGCAGGCCAGTACAGGTGTTGCAAGCGAGACCGCTCACCACCATGACGTATCGATAGCGTTCTGCATCTCCACGCACGACGCCCAAATCTTTCAACACCATACATATCGCATCTACATACACACACTGGCCGGAGGGAGCTGCATCATGGCAGAAGTGACTCGCACCGCATCGCCGGCCAGCTCGAGGCATGTGGCTTTCGACGCCAAATGCCAGGTGATCCCGGAGGGCGACTGCAACGACCTGCGCAAGCTGCTCAGTCTCTGCCCTACTCGAGCGCAGTCTCCGCCCATCGTCGGATCGTCGTCTCGTCCCGCCAGTCTCATCGCTCGCACCATCTCACCGCCCTTCGCTCGAGCCAAGTCGCCTCAGCTCAGGAAGGCTTCCGGTTTGGGTCAAGGCGTGCCAAGCGGCTCCACCTCGTGGAAGACGCGTCTCACCAGCTGGGGCAGCGGCGTCGACTCCAACACCATCGCCGGCAGCTTGTCCGCCGCGTTTGGCGCCCCACCCAACTCCAGTGCGCCCCGCTTGGTCGCTCCCGTACCTGCCAGGGGCACCGCAAGTCCACTCATCCCCTTCGAGGATGACAGCCTCGCAGACGCTTCGCCTGCCAAGGAAGAGTCGATCGACTTTGACGACGTCGACGCCGAGTTCCGCCAGGCCGTGTCCGGAGTGGCCATGCAGCACCACCACATGCCAGTCGAACGCGTGCATACCGCATCTCCACTGCCCGGCCACGAGCGCTCGTCAAGCCCCTACGTTCGCGCCATCATCAACTTGCGCCAGCAGACACCCTCACCTGCACGCCCGCCGCCCAAAAGCTGCCTCGTACGCTCCAAGACCCCGCAAGCGCCACGACCACCCACGCTCATGAACGACGGCATGAGGCCGCTTCGAGCCACGCGCTCCAACGATCGCGATTGCTGCTTCGAGCGCAGAAGACGCGCGCAAGGCAACCCCGTCATATGCCCGTCACCACTCAGCTCGCCCGACGACGAACGCTATCCGTGGGGCGGCGATGCTATCACCCCCAACGAGAACCATCCGGCGACCAAACCGGCCGAAAAGTCGAAAGGGTCGCGGTGGAGACGCTTCCGTAGAGCGGCTTCCGAAGATGCGTCGCGATCTGAGCCGAGCAGCTCGAGCCACAATGCCCACATGGACGAGACGGCGGTCAAGCGCGAGATCCAGGCGGGCCGATGGCCGTTTGAGGCGCCTCTGAATGCGGAATGCAGCTGCAAAAACTGCCAGCACACGATCGAGGTGGGACTGGCGTCCGACTACGAGCCCAAGTGGACGCGCGCAGCACGCATCCGCTGGCTCGAGGCGCAGGAGGATGCCGCCGCTGCGGCTGCGCGGGGCGGCAACGGCACGGCTGTGATGGCCTCGAGCGGGCTGCCACGATCCACGAGCCGCACTGCGATACAGGCCGACGAGATGGCGCAGCTACACAACGAAACGGCGCACCCCATGACGCAGGCCGAGTTGGAGGCCGAGCCTGCATCGCCTGCGGTCGAGCAGGGCGAGCCGAGCTGGGTGGGTGGCGGCGCAAGGGAAGCGAGCGGCGTTCAGGCAAAGCCGCCGAATCCCACGGGACTCGAAGAGGGCGACGACACGTTGCGGCGCGAAATCATGGCTCGACGGCAAAAGATGGCGCGCCAGAGTCCCGTGATGCGGTACGGAGCAAGGAGCATGATGCGGCAGCTGGAAGAGGCGGAGCGCATCGAGCAAGAGGCGGCACGGACACGCTCGTCAAGTCGAGAGGGCCATCGTACCACCGGCTCGGGACGCTCGTCGCCAGCTACGCCCGCCATGTCGCCATCGCTTCCGTCGACTCCAGACTCGGTCTCGAACGCGACGCAGGAACGCTCGGCGACCGAGGTAGCTGCAGCTGGCCAGTCGTACTTTGACATGCCTGCGCCGCCCGAGCGGGTGCGGTCGCCGTTGGTGCCTGCGGGCGCTGTGTCGAGCCCGCGTTTTGCACGACCCGTAGCCGTGCCCTCGACGGCGTTCGGTATGACCAATGTGGCGCACGCACTCGAGGCCGCCGTATCCGGCTCGCCGCCCGAGTCTCCTGCCGAAGAGCAACGGCCAGGCAAAGGGCAAGGATGAGGGGCTAGACTCCCAAACGCCGTCTGCATGAACCCGAACGCAATTTATCATAGTTCATCTAGACAACAGCATGAATCTTTGAAGGCTGTACTGGTGGTGTGCCTCGCATCGGCGTGGTGGTAACTGTGGCAGCTGTGTAGATTCATGCGGCGGTGTGGGTGGGACGAGGAGGAATGGCATGTCGCCATCCGTGGGCTGGATAGCATGCTCCGTGTCTCGCGCGGATCGGACGCACCCAAACTTGATTCTGTACAAAAGACGAGGAGCTAACACTAGGGAGAAATTCCGCGCTGCGAGATGGAGCAAGCCTGCAGCTGCGGGACGTGCAAGCGGAGGTGGAGGCGCCCCGGCAAAGCAGCACGTCGTCAACGCGCGCACCGATGGCGTGCTCTCGGCGATAAATTTTGAGCCTTCCATCACTGCGGCAGTGTCCCACACGCCTCTGCAACGGCTCTCCCACTTCACGCTATCGACCCCACCGTCTCTTGCAGTGCTCTAATCATTATTAACATGCTACTCTGATCGGGAAGAGGCTGTTGGGTCGAGTTGGAGCAAAGTACGCCTTGTGGGATACCAAGACGGGGCACTGCGGGGGGTATGCATGCTCAGATCGCAAGCAGAGGCCGATTAGATCTTGGCTTGTGATTCGAAGCGTTTGCAGCCGCGGGTGAACCCCATCGGCTCGAAATTTTGGCGCGGGCGAACGACTGCTCAGTCATTCGAATGTTAACTTCTCGTTCCAGACGTTCCACAGCGGGCGTCGCGGCGGCGTTTCGGTGTCGGATTCCGCGATGAAGGGCGCCGAAAAAGCACGTCAACTATAGCAAATAACGCCGCGCAGTTCATCCGGTCGCTGTAGACCTGTACGACGCAGAAAAAAAAACGTGCGCAGAATGACAGCTCCCCGCCGATGTCGCAATCGGATGCCACTCTTCAACCACACCTGCATGCTGCCTTCGACACTGTCGCAATGCCACAACGCAAAGGCTCCCGCCACATTCTCCCGCCACCCTCCTCTCCCTGGTGGAGCAGGTGGAGCAGGTGGAGCAAGAGTCCCTGTGCCTCGATATGATCAAGAGCCGGCCCGCCAAGTCTCGGCCTGATGCAGCTCGAACACAACGCTGGATCTTCTAGCTCGATCCCCACCGCACCTCCGACTGCCAAAGCCATTCCCCACCGCCTTTCACCATCGCTCACAAATCTGCCATCACCCCCTTGGAAAGGCAGCTTCCCTCGGTCCCCACCGCTGCTTCTTCCTCAACCCTCACCACTCAGCACGCCATCTTGTGGCTCTTTTGAGATCCCGCCCAGCATCTGCCTCTGCTCCTCAGCCATCCATCGATCCCACCAACAACCTTCAGGAACCACGCTAGTGCACCCGTCTTGCATTCCTGCCAATACAGGTCCAGACCTCCAACTCTTTTCCACGCGGCTCTCCTCGCAATCCTTGGTCGCACCATCGCCATACCCAGCACCAAGCGGCTTCCGCGTTGACAACGTCCATCCTGCAGCTCGCTTGCTCCTCGACAAAGCACGCCAAGAAGCTCTCTGCTCGAATCGGTGCCTAGAACCCCCCGTCGTCGTGAACCTCCGTTCGTTTCAGCCCCCCGCCGCAAGACCGTCCCGCCGCTCGCCGCGTGGCACCCGCCCTCTTGCTCCGTCTTCAGAAGACCGTCAAGCTTCCCAGCGATTCCTGCGGTTCTCTTCTCTCGTCCACCAGCCATTTCTCCCTTCCGCCGCCGACTCGCTTAGCCTGCTCGCCCGCAACCTTGGCACACGAGCGCTGCATCTTCGCCACCGTCGCTGAAAGACCTCATTCGGCTTCCGCAACCTCGCGGTTTTTCGTACTTCCGAACCTGCCCTCCGTGGCGAGCTGACCAACGAGTGCATTCCTATATAGTCGCCCGTTCGAGAAGCACTTTCTCTCTCGTACATACACCCATCTCCCCACACCCCTTCCCCTCTTCCTGTCGCGGTCGTTTTATACGCCGCACAGTGTTCCGGCCGCCTCTCATCATGGCTTCGCAATTGCAGCACCAGGATGAGAAGCCCTCGCTCCGCCAACGCGGCACCGACGCCTTCAAGTGGGCGATCGGCTACAACGACAACGAGATCAACCGCGTCGGCGTGCCCGTCGTCAGCAGCCGCGACTGGCTCGGCAACATCTTCCGTCATCCGGGCTCCAAGGCCAACGACTATTTCGACAGCCTCTTCCCCTTCCGCAAGTGGATCGCTTCGTACAACACCCAGTGGCTCATTGGAGACATTATCGCCGGTATCACCGTCGCGCTCGTCGTCGTTCCTCAGTCCATGTCTTACGCAAAGCTCGCAGGCCTCAAGCCCGAGTTCGGTCTCTACTCGTCGTTCGTCGGCGTCATGATCTACGCCATCTTCGCCACGTCCAAGGATGTCACCATCGGTCCCGTCGCCGTCATGTCGCTGCAGACGTTCAACGTGGTGCAGCACGTCTTGTCGCACACGCGCGAGTGGGCGCCCGAGACCATCGCCACCGCCCTCGCCTTCCTCTGCGGTGTCATCTGTCTCGGCATCGGTCTGCTTCGTCTCGGCTTTATCATCGAGTTCATCCCCGCACCCGCCGTGGCTGGATTCATGACGGGCTCGGCCATCCAGATTGCCGCCGGTCAGGTGCCCAAGCTGCTCGGCCTGTCCAAGGTGCAGACCAACAGCAACCCCGCCTATCAGGTCATCATCGACACGCTCAAGGCTCTGCCCGACACCAACATCAACGCGGCCTTTGGTCTGCCCGCGCTCGTCTTCCTTTACTGGATCAAGTGGTTCTGCGGATGGCTGCCTACGCGATACCCGCGCACCGCCCGCACCATGTTCTTCGTCTCGGTGCTGCGTAACGCTTTCGTCATCATCGTCTTTACTGTGGCTTCGCGCATTTGGCTCGGCCACTACTCGAACCCCAAGAAGTACCCCATCTCCGTCCTGCTCACCGTGCCCCGTGGATTCAAGCACATCGGCCAGCCCATCCTCAACACGCGCCTGCTCTCGGACCTTGCTCCCCGCCTGCCTGTGTCGGTGGTGGTGCTGCTGCTCGAGCACATCGCCATCGCAAAGTCGTTCGGCCGCCTCAACAACTACAAGATCAACCCCAACCAGGAGCTCGTTGCCATCGGCGTCACCAACCTCGTCGGTCCGTGCTTCGGCGCGTATGCGGCTACGGGTTCGTTTTCGCGAACGGCCATCAAGTCCAAGTCGGGCGTGCGCACCCCGCTTGCCGGTTGGTTCACCGGTATCCTGGTGCTCATCGCCATCTACGCGCTCAGCGGCACGTTCTACTGGATCCCCAACGCGGTTCTGTCGGCCGTCATCATCCACGCCGTGACGGACCTGGTGGTGCCGTTCTCGGTGTCGTACAAGTTCTGGCTGATCAACCCGTTCGAGCTGATCATCTTTGTGGGTGCAGTGGTTGCCACCGTCTTCTCGGGCACCGAGACGGGCGTGTACGTGTCGGTGGCTGCTTCGCTTGCGCTGCTGCTCATCCGCATCGCCCGCCCCCGCGGTCGATGGCTCGGCATCGTGCGTGTTCACCACGGCACCACCGCGCCCAACGAGTCGACCATCACGCTCTCCCACCGCGACGTGTTTGTGCCGCTCGACGACAAGGACGGCATGCGCGACCCGTCGATCCACGTCGAGCCTCCCCCGCCCGGCGTGCTCATCTACCGCTTCGAAGAGGCCTTTACCTATCCGAACGCCTCGCACCTGGCCGATCTGCTGATTGACAGGGTCAAGGAGACCACGCGCCCGGGAAAGCCCGCTTCGTCACAGCGTCTGGGCGACCGTCCCTGGAACGATCCCGGTCCGCCCAACCCGCACCTCGTCAAGGCTGCACGTGCCGTCACCTGCCGAAGCCGCAAGAACGCCCTGGATGACTCGGATGCGCTTGCTGCCGTGCGCGACACACGCCCCACCCTGCGCGCCATGATCTTTGATTTCAGCTCGGTCAGCAACATCGACACGACTTCCGTGCAGACGCTCGTCGACGTTCGCACTGCCGTTGAGCGCTATGCCGACGCCAAGGTCGAGTTCCACTTTGCCAACATCCTCTCTCCCTGGATCCGACGAGGTCTTCTTGCCGGCGGGTTCGGGTTGGGCTTCCCTTCGAAGCGCATCACCGATGTGGCGCCCGTTGTGTCGCAGCCGCAAAACGCCACGCTGAGTGCGCAGGAGCTGCAGAGGCGTGAGGATGCCGAAGCCGCGCGCCGCGCCAAGGCCATCGAACGCATGAGCCACAAGAGCGCCAACGAAGGCTCGGCCTACCCGTTCAAAGGTCGCCCCACCAAGCCGCTCACCGAGCTCGAGGCAGGTCTCGCCGGCGATGGTGCCGCTGCCAGCAGGAGCCGTGTCGACCTGCACGAGGATCTGGACGACGCCGATCCTGACCGCATTCTGACTACCCGCAAGGTCGCGATCGGCGAGGCACTGTACGATGTGCATACGCTCGACGAGGGTCAGCACGCCGAGTCGTCCAACTCTTCTCCATCGCGAAACAGCTTCGAGAAGGATGTCGAGCAGGGCCACCGCGAGGACCGCAGGCCGTCGAACCCCGAATCCCAGGTGTCGGTGCCTTTTATTTGGGGCAACGACCTCACGCCTTTCTTCCACCTCGACCTCTCGGCTGCCCTTGCGGCGGCCTCCGAGGGCATCGGCGCAGACTCCCAGACCAGCTCCACCATCGACAAGGGCCTCTGAATCGCCTCTTTGCAAAAAAAACTTCTCGTGATCCATTCTGTCACCGGTTGGTTTGGACTGTTGTTGCTTTCCGCCTCTCTGCGTCCGCATTCCGTCGTGTTGCATGCCTGTAATTCTATTTTGCGCATCATACCTTCTCGTCCAGTTTAGCCTGTGCGCTCTGCATATCCTTTTCTTCTGATTTAGTCGGGTTGGTTGACATTCGACAAGCTACACTCTTCGGACTACGTATTGGCGCTGAGACCAACACGACTTGGCGGCTGCAACGAGTCGTACTGGCTGCAAAGTGGCACCTTGGCATTCAAGCTCATCGCTGCGCCACTTCTTTGCCGGGCATGGGCGCGAAGAACGTCTTGATTGTCTGATGACAATGCCGTCAGGCGGTTCAAGTGATCACTCCGAGGTTGGGCTTTCAATGCGCCCAGCTGCGACCTGTGAGGCTTGGCACCAGTACGATTTAGTCCCCGCGCCATTCCTTAGGCAAAGAGGGGAGTGTTGGCGGGGGTCTGGCTCGCCCGGGCCGGAAGATGCATTTACGGCCCGACTCGAACAACATGGCACGGTCGGCTATGCTACAATACGTACTCCGACTCAGGGGTGCGAGCGTCGCACCCCCTTGGTCGCTCACTTGGTCAATCTTCGCACTCGCTCACTCAGACTGCAGAACCATCCCATATTCTCGCACCTCCGTGATCTCATTCTTTCGTATGAGCTCGTGCTGTGTATCGCCTAGCACAAGCGTCGCAGCACAACCACCGCAGGCTGCATCACTTACATCGCTTTATGCACAGCCAAGGACCAAGTACACGATTGGTTCAATGACCCAACATACTCGATCGATATCAGGACTCGGGACGAACAGATTCGCATCTTCCATGACTTTGCGCCTCAATCAGTCAATGTGATGGCAATGCTCAAAGTGATGGTGGGCAGGGTAAGAGTCGAAAGCCGAGGTCATCGGACGCCACGCCCACAGCCCAGCCCTCTCAAATCTATCCACATTCGGCAATTCAGTCTTTCTTGAGATACACGCTTTTCGAACAGCCAAGCCATCACGATCACAGTAACAGTACACGGAGTTGAGTGAGAAGGGTCGAGAAATGGAGGTAAGCATTGCTGACTTGGGTGAGAGTGTGCCCGTCGCCTTGCCATGGAGCTGGCTAGTAGTGGGCTAGGATGCGTGATAGCGGTTGAAAGTCCCACACCACCCTAGGGTCATGCTTAATAGCGCCCACATGGACAACACTGCTACGACCCGTTTGGGTCGAATACCGCATGAGAATCGTGGCCATCTTGTCCTGCAGCCTCATGTCGGCGCCCAGAGGTTCGATGGGATGGATCACCGTGTAGAAGTACGTGTGCCGGTCGCCGACCATCTTTGGGCCCCAGATGAGCTGGTGGCGCGTACCCACAAAGACCGCTCGCTTCTGGGCGATTTCTCGTGCACGGTTGGCAAAGTCCTTGACGTCCAGGTTCGCTGCAAGTGTCGCAGGCTCCATCATGGCGCCAACGGCGTTGTGTCGAATAGCCTGAGATCTGCGTGAGAGCTGCAGCATCTCGCGGTCTTTATCGCTTAGAACAGCGTCGCCCAAGTTTTCTCCCGCAGCAAAGCAGAAGAGCCAAGCGACAAGAAGGACAACGCTCACAAGTCGGTAGCTAGACGTCATCTTGAGTAGCGTCTCTATCACGAAGCGATGGTGATTGCTTGGATGATTGCCAAAAAGACCGAAACTGCCGCACGGACGGCGCTTATATGCCTTTTACTCCTGCTGTTCGTTCGGTCTTTCTCACGTTCGGAGCCTGGCTCGAAAGCGTGAGAGTGAAGTTCTTGGCGCGAGGTCGACGAGCACAGGGGCCCTTCATCCGCACAAGTGCAGCTCTGCACGGCAGTCGAGACTTAAATCACTCAGATGACCACCGGCAATCACAAGATCTTCCAAAATCGACAGCCGCTAATGTGCGGGGCGGACCGCATGACCACAAACACAATGCAACCGGGCATGTCTCGGGCAAACAGACTCCGTCGGAACGGTCCAAATGCAATGCTGCAGCCTTGTTAGTGGGCGTCCGGTTCTATGGCTGCAGATCCGGACGCCGCTTATCTACGCGCACAAGAAGCTTCCCGCAGGAAATATTGATGCTCGTCCCCGGCAACCAATGACCGTCGCATTGGGATCTGGCGGAATATACGAGATCTTGGCAGCAGGCGCTGGCAGCGCGAAAGATGAGGTGCGTGATGCGGCAAAAGGCGCTCGTATGAACTGGCCTCTTCATAGTCACACGCCACAGCTTTGAAAGAGGTTCATTGCGCGCGTCTCTCATGAGTAAGGAATTCCCCGGACGATCACCGGGAACAGAAGGACGACACCGTGAACGAAATAATGTGGGTGCTTTGATTACATGATCAGAAGGCACAATGAAGACAGACATTCAAAAACCAAAAGGGATGATGAGGACTGCCGCCAACAGCGATTGAAAATAGGAAAGGCTCGAGTGCCGATGTGCTTCGAGATGCCTGGGACCGGCCTAGCTGCGATGCACCGTCTCGGGAAGGGATAAGCGCTTGGTGGCTTAGTGGTTACGCAGGAGCTGTTCGAGGGGCTCGAACATCCAGTTGACCTGGGGGTTGTGCTCGATGGCACTGACCCTGACGATCTTGTACGTGTTGGTCAGAGACGAATGTTTGAAGAGGATGTCGCCCATGTTGCGGCCCAGTCCCATCTCCCTGCCGAGCCTTTCGTTGGGGTGAACGAGCGTGTAGAAGTAGGTGATCTTGTCGCCCATCAAGTCCGGGTTGCGGTTCGGCTTGACGTAGCTGCCGACGAAGCGGGCTCTCTCCTGAACGAGAGACATGGCCCGGTTGACAAAGTTCGGTACCCTCTGATTGGGTGGCAGCTCCCTTCGATTCCACGTCGCACCGATGTCCCGGAACCTCTGGGCCTGGTCCATGGTTGCACGATCGACCATGCCCCAGTCCATATCGTTCATCGTCGGGTTCGGAATCCTGTTTCCTGCGGCTGCACAGATCCCGACCAGCACGGTCAGCAGCAGGAAGAACTTCATAAGGCGTTGAGCGATCGCGACCATCTTGAGGAACGTGTTAGTGAGTATTGGCTGGGCTGTAGAGGCTTGGCTTGGTGAGGAGCAATCATCCAACGCCTGTGTCAAGGATCCCGTACTTGTACCTTTACAGCTGCTGCATCAACGGCTACAATGCTCTGCAGGAACCGTCAGCCGGACAAAATTTTCTTCTTGAGAGTCACTTGGATCTGCATGTAAGAGGACCTCATTGCTTTCCCCTGCATCGTTCCAATGTCGATACCTCGGCGCAGGTGGGGCACAATGCAGCGCAAACAAATGCAGTAGATGAGCATCATATCTTCGGGCCGGCTGTTGCAGACAATCGGAGGCAACAGAGGAAGATCAACTATCAAATATTTGTCTCGGCTTCATACTGGATAAAGTGGGGCTCGTAAAAGATTGCTCTGCCGGAAAAGTGCTCAAACTCGGACTCAAACCTCACTATCCAAGCAAAGCCACCTTTTGACGGCTTCTTTGTGGCATTATGACTCGTTTGGCATCCAGCTCCTTCTATGTTTTTCTCCCTCGTACACAAACATGAGTCGTTCTAGATGCACGCACCGCTGAGCTATTCGTCTCTTCTGACATCATCTGAAACTGGTGGGCTGTCCCCACCTAAGGCTGACCTTCGACCCACTCAACAGCCAAGATTTATGGGAAGAAGTTGCATCTCCGCCGTCGGGTTGCGCTTCCATGGTTTTGACAATGAAGATGTGTGGGCCGATCTCCACTTCCATGTCGATCCTTACCGGCTGCTGCTACGAGACACGCTGTCCTCTGCTTTAAGTCATTCCGAGTAAAATACTGTGGTTGGTATATACGAGGCACCCTGCGTTCGGAGGTCTGAGCAAGATGAAAAGTCGCAGCCTTCGCCCACTCGCTTCATCCTTCCTACATGATCACTGGGCTTCTGGACTATCAACCCACTTCGATTCGAAACTTTTCCAACCACCCACACGCAGCTCAACATTCTTGCTTCCTCGGCTTTTTGCATGATCGCCGACCAGCGTTACTGCGCTAGACTACCGAGACCACTGTAGATCGACCTATGTTGGACACCTAGATGGACGCTTCGCGTGCTTCCAGCTCACTTCTGGCGATCGTGTCATCTACGGCTCAGACAAATGTGACGATGTGCCCGGCCCTAGAAACAGTGAGCAATCGAGCACTGCTGAATGATCGTGCTCCCATTCACAAAGTGGGACAGAGATGCTGATCGTGCGATTGCAAAGTTGTTATTTTGTGATAGAACGATGATGAATTGATGCGTGAAGTTTATGAAGATGGTGGGTAGTAGATTCTGGAAAGGAATCAACGATGTTGTGGACAAGGGCCATCTATGTGTGCTGTTCGCGGTCTGGACGCTTGAAGTGCAACGACCTTAGATGGGCTTCTGGGCGCCAAAGATGCAAACCAAAGAAGCACTTTGTATGCGAGCAGCCGAGTAGGTGGGAAACTAGCCGAAGCACGAAAGACAGCCAAAAAGAGGACGACTGAGTCCACGGTAGACGTTTTGCCATGACGTCGTCTGGGCGGCATGAGAGCCTGAGCTCCACAAGTCCAGGCGCAAAAGCTGGGCACCTCGTTTGCTGACCTTCCAGTAAGCATAGGCGTCCTTCGTGCGGCGAAAGCCCAGGTCACTAATCTGAGGCTGGCCGAGTCCCCACTTTCTACCTAGCGTGCTTTCTCGTGGAATCTTTGTCGTAACGTATGCATACCGGCGATTATAGTCGTAGCCGACATGGAAGGGCCCCATTCCCTGCTCGTGAGCAAAGTTCCATGCATCTCGCTCGGCCGTAGCTTGGCCCGCGAGCAGGTGGGGGTAATACTGGACGCGAGAGTCGGGAGCCGGACGAGGTTCTTCGAACGTCGATCGTATATGAGCCAGCGAAGCTCTGTACAGAGGCCACTCGTGTTCTTCCAGCTCCGGCTGCTGTACTGCCAGAGCGCCAAGGACCAAGACTGTCCAGCCAAGAACTGCAATAATGGAGTAGGCAACCATCGCGGAAAACTTGAAACACTTTGAAGAGCGGATTGGGTGCTTGATTGTAGCTCAAAGTCATCACCTTCTGCTCCTTTTATGCGTTTGGATGATGCATTTCGCCGGACTCAGATCATTCCGCAAGACTAAAGGAGCTTGCAGAGAGTATGGATATGCCGAGAAGGAGATGAAGATGTGGTGAGGTGTTGTTCGAGCTTTACGTGGACTCAGCAACGTCTTTGAGCACAGCGTTGGTCCCCCTGAAACCAGGGGGACGCAACGGGCTTGAGGACAAAGTTGCTATGATCGTTGTCGTAAGGAGAGGAGGCGTCTTGGTACCCGCTGTTGTGAGGGTTTCACCTCGTCAATTGATGTGAACTAGGACTTTGCATGAGAGCGAAGATCCCGTTGCTTTTCTGAGCAAGAATGCGCGGTTCAGTGCCGTATATACGCACAAATAGGTGGAGCAGTGAATCGCACTGGACTGGTCAGGTTTGACGCATGATTGTCAGTTGCATGCACCGGGCGAGGATCTTTGCTGGGTCTTTGCGATCTCATCGAGCCCAAGTCCCACCGCTGAACAGCCACATTCGTGCACACATATCGAGCTATCCGGCAATTGTCCTTGAATGTCGACATGAGCCACCATTCGCTTGAGACTTTCGCATCCGTGACCATGCAATCCACCATCGCTCTCCACGCATCACAAGGTCCCATCGTAGGAATGCCTTCATTCGTGGCAACTGTTCCGTCAACGGCACACAGTATCGCACTGAAGGTACCGCGGCACCTGCGGCTTTGACAAATGAATTGGTGGCTTGGCGCAATGCGATGCACATCTCTGGGAAAGTTTATTCCGCATCGCTCGTCTCGCTACAAGTTGAAGCTGTGGGTTCGAGTCTCCATCTGCTGGGCTCGCTTCCGACTTAGAGGCTTGTGGCATAAAGAGCCGAGCAAGTATAGCCGCCGGAGGATTTTGCGCAGGGTGTGTCGTATAAAAAGGAGAGCCAATTTGGCCGACTCGATCCTGTAAGCAACTCATCTGCTTTCAGTCTGCGAGCCTCGACTTTAAGCATGCGAGGAATATCTTGCCTCTTCGTGATGACCACGCTGCTGGTGATCGCCGCAGCGCTTCCGCAATCCTCCTCTGGGTCAAGACCCAATGCCGGCCGGAGGAATTGGTGGAGCTTTCGTCGAACGCAATGGCCTGATGTTCCCGACCGCGCCTTCCTGCCTGTGGCCGACACCAACCCGACTTTTGCTGCTGCTCAGGCTCAGACTCAGGCTCAACAAAGGCTAGCAGGTGCTTTGCAAAATGCCCAGGACGCTTCAACGTGGTCTCAAGCCGAAATCTCTCGAATGGGTGGACCAGGCTCCGCTTTCCGGCCTGTAACCAAAAGGCCCGAAGACGCTGCACCTTCGCGACCGTTCTTGCCAGCCCCCGCACCTTCATTGGGAGCAGGATCCAGTCAGGAGGCCGAATCTTTGCATGCTCGTGCTGACATCCCTAACCAAAATTCCGCGCAGGATCGAATCTACGGCCTTGGTCACAGCAAGTTTGTCGCGCGAGCCTATCCAGTCGACACGCCTCTGTTTACTCATCTCTACAGTGACGAATCCCTTGTGCCTGTCAACTTTGAGGATTACGTGCAAGGAATACGCCTGCTGTCCCTGGGCTCGGCCTACCGACCCGAACCGGCACTGCTGCGCGCGATACAAAGCATGATCTGGACGAAGCTGGGCAGGTTTGGCTTCAACCCCATGCAGGTAGCCGGAACGCCTGATCTCGTGGAGGGTCAATACCTGTGGCCGCCCCTCAGCAGGGATCGATACACCGGTAATGTGAACATGCCAGCGGATGTCTTGAGGCGCTTGCGCGGCACGGTCAAGGATCGACTGAGGCGCTTGCGGCCCAGCGATCCAGACTTGTATCATTTGCAGGTCAACGGAAGGCACATTCTTGCTTTCACGACAAAGCCCATCTATCAAGTCAACCTTCCGTTCACGCCGAGCAGGTCGGACCTGTGGATGTTCTTCGAGATGATGGCTCCCAGAGACGCCAACGCCGCCGTCCCGCATCTGACGCTGCTGGGATCCACTTTCCTTCCTAGGGGGGCTAGGAGACTCATGACCTCGGGGGATGTTATGTGGCCCGCGTTTTTACATGCTCCTCGCCGTTGAAGTCATTGGGTCGTCGCTTTCCTATTGTCCTTTTCTACCTCTGACTGTACGGCAACGTCCGCAACGCGGCTCAGCAGCTCTTCTTCAAGCTACTGGCGACTCATCATAGCTTTCATGTGGTAATTACAGTAGTCTGCACCAGCATATCTCTCTCTTCCGTGAGGAGCATGTTGTCCTGTCGAGTCTTGTGCAGGGTCAGTACCATTGGAGCAATTGATCCTTCCAACGCCAGGCAGGGGTCGGCTGTCGGGAAGTTTTCGGTGCTTCTTCTGGGAGCCCTCGACCTCGCAGTTGGCCGAAATGAAGCTCGAGCACCGACGATGCCTGGCGTGAGAGAGCTTGGCTCGGAGGTCATCCGGCAGCGATGAAATGGGGCGCACATGGCGGCAACTGCCATCCAGCATTGATACATTGCATAGGGCACAATGTGTGTGTAGGTTGATTGGCTGCGAGCATCATGCTTGCCTGACGACAAGCAGCCCACAAAGCAGTCCTGAGCTAAATGCAAGACAGTGTCCTGTAGTTAGCCTCGTCTTTCGGTGAAACGCAGATGCAACTGAGCCGGATGAAAGGTATAAAGCAACGACGTTGTGGCAACCCCGGTATGACCGCGCATCATTTCAGCTTTTCAGCTCTTCTCCCCATCCTTTCAAGATGCGGTTCAGCAAGAAGCTCGTAGCTTTGGCTCTGCTTGGAGTCGCTGCGATTGGCAAGTGCAATGCTATGGACGGTGAGGAAGGCTCTCGAGATGAAAGGATTCCCGTGACGGACGACCCGCGCAGTGTGCATTACCAGCCGGAACCCGTGCCTGCACCGGCGGAAGGATCGCATTGGCGACCGTCTTCCCCTGCGCCGGCACCTTCTCGAGCGGAGGCGGTGCAGCTGTATCCGTTCAGCGCGGATGATCGACCTTGGACGCTCTCTCACGTACAGGCGGTTGCTTCGAGCTCGAGCAACATGCCGGCCAGCTTTCAGAAGCCGCGAGTTTATTGGCAGATAGGCCGCTTCACCACGGGCGACGGAAGGTCGTACGGGCCGTATATGATCGGATCAACGCGATTCTTACTCCAGCCGTATCCTCTGGATATCCCCGTGCTGTCCAAGTTCTACGCTCAGCCCGGATGGATACCGACGGATTTCGAGCGTTTCGGCGGTTCGCTTTCACACATGCTGGACACCTGGATCTTTCGACCCGAGCCGGGCATCTTGCGCCTTATTCGGCACCAGCTGCACGTCATGCTCAACAGCGCTGGCTTGCGACCTGGACTCGTAGGTAACCAAGGGCTCACGGAGGGCGAATACCTGTGGCCACCGCTGGGAATGCGGGCGTACGGAGTTGCGGTCTATATGCCCACGGCCAACGGCGATCGTCTTTCGTCGGCTGTCGCACGCGAGCTTGCAGCACATAGATTCCAGGCACCCCGAGTGTTCCGATTGGAGATACCGCTGGGATCATACAGCCGTTACATCCTCATGACGCCGGTGGCTTCGGGACACTTTACGCCTGTTGCTGCAGCGGACGTACCCAATTCGGAGTTCTGGGTGTTTCACGAAGCCATGGTCGGCGGAGGAGTGAGGACGCCGCAGTACAACATGGCGCTACTCGGCGGCATGTTCTTGCCCAAACGCGCCACGACAATGCTCGGTGAATCTGCGTTTTTCCGCCGAGCGATCTTCTAGGCAAAGCCCATCGTGCTTTCCTTGTACGCACACGAGCAATCGAACCGCTCGCCATCCTTTGTAGAGCGCGAGTGACAGACGTGAGCCTGAGAGAGCAAGCCTTGTCGCCATGCCTGAAAGCAGCCGGGCAGGAGGCACGGAAGAGTGACACGTGTGGAGCCTGTTCAACCTGAGCGTGCTCATGCGCTCATGCCGCCGTCTGCAGGTAGGACGCGGGCAGGAGAAATTTGGTCCAGACCCTGGCCTGCTGCGCGGGCCGGCGGCGGCACGAGGACCAGCAGATGATGCCTTGTGGCCTCCCGTGCGAAGGCGGGCATACACGAGCCTCCACACTTGGTCCTGCACCTTCCCGCCATCATCCGCCGCGCTTTGTATCGTCGCTTTCTCACCATCGCTGCGTCCAGCAGTCCAGCTTCAGTCGTGGCGACTCGCAAGATGTCCAGTCCGGTCGTCGGCGTGCTCTCCACCGCCTCCTGTCCGACTCGATGCAGCAGCAACGGTTCGACGCGATGACAAACGACTGTCAGGTGGCAGGCGAGGCGGAGATGCGAGGGCAACCTCCAATGCTTCCGAGTGCGGCGTCCACTCGGCCAACGCACATCACCTCGCGTCTCCCGCCCATCCCATCTCTCCAGCACAAAGGCCGTACAAATCGAACGCGGTCGCCGTCCCGCGGCTACAAGGAAGGCGACTGGCGCGCCAAACCGAACTTGCCCTCGTCCAACACGCTCCAGACCTTTCTTACCGTCACCGAGGCGGACCACGACGGCCAGGACAACCATGAGCACCCACACCACCACCATGGTCACGACAAAGCGGACATGCACCACTCATCAGAGCCGGGGCATGGATGGCGTGTTCGCAAAACGCCCATCTTCAGTGGCATCGTGGCGCCGTTCTCGATCATGCTCGAGGTGCCCGGACTGACGTCCAAGTGGTACGCCAAGATCGACGCCGATGGCATCGTGGAGCGCTTCATCGAAAATCCGACCATCATCACCGTCGGCCTTGCCATATCGCTCGGTGCTGCGGTCGTGGCGAACTTCGCCATCGTCGCGCGCTTCCTCGAATTGCTCCGACCGCGTGTGAGCATCGCCCTGGCTATTGCTGGGTTTGTGCTGCACGATGTGATCAACGTCATTGCGCTCGCTACGTTCGGAGGCATCTATGGGCCAAAGAAGGACGGACTCAGCTTGAGTGCGGCTTATTGGATGGTGTGCGCCTCGACGATCACCTCGACGCTCGTGACGATCAGTCTCATTATGGACTATGTGCGCACCAACGACTTCCGCCACGCTGGGTCTGGATTGACCCAGCTGCAAAAGGGGCTGGTGCTTGCTGTGATGGGGCTGCTCCTGTACCTCTCGCTCGGCTCGCTTGTGTTCGTGTTCGTCATCGGGATCGACTTTATCACTGCGCTGTACTTCTCCACCGCTACGGTGCTGACTGTAGGCTTTGGTGATGTCGTACCAGCAAGTCCGGGTGGCAAGATTCTCGTGATCATCTATGCGCCGGTGGGCATTGTGCTGGTAGCGCTCGTCGTGTCCGCTGCACGCAGTGCGATCCTCGAGACATTCCAAGCTGCGCTCTTGGCTCGCAACAAGGAGCGTCGCCGACGTCTGGCACAGCGAAAGGAGGCGCGGCGCCAACACAAGCGTCAGGATCGAGCCATCCGCCGCATCATGCCTCGCACCTTCACGTTTGGACCCGGCACTTCGGACGCTAGTGGGGCTGCTGGTGATGATGGCAATGACTTTGCAGAGGCACTCGCGCGCATGGAGAAGCAAGCGGCCACGCCGGACGTCGAGCACGACACCACCACCGAGCGTGCCAAGACGGCGTCTTCGGACAGCGCCACCGCTGCATCCGACGATGCTATGCGCCAGGCTCGCGGGTCTGAAAAGTCGGCTGCAGCTACCGCGGGCGACCCCACTCTGCAGCGCGAGATCAGCGCCCTGCAGCACGAGCTGCTCGTAGCCAAGCAACGCACCGAGCAAGACTTTCGGCAGTTTGAAGAGCATTTGCGTCACGAAGCCATCGTCGCCGCACGCACCAAGCTCGTGCTGGCCGCCTCGGTCACCTGGGCCTTCTGGCTGCTGGGAGCGGTAGCTTTCACGTATGCAGAGCGTTGGAGCTACGGCGGAGCCATGTGGTTCTGCTTTATCGCCATGATCACCATCGGCTACGGCGACTACCATCCGTCGACGCAGCTGGGGCGTGCGATCTTTGTGATCTGGGGCCTGATGGGCGTGGCGGTGCTGACGATCCTGCTGGCAGTGGTGCAGGATGCGTTCGGCAGCATCTTTCACCGCGTACTCACCAAGTCGACCTCGCGCCTGTTTCATCGGGCCGAAGCGAGGGCGCACAAGCGCAGGCTTCGAAAGCAGCGCGAGAGCGCAGCGCAATTGCGTAGCGAGGTCACGGAGGATGAAGAGGATGTCGAGGGAAGAGCCGTTGCGGTACGTGCCAAGACGAGGCCATGGCGCCATCCACAGCGCAACAGTGAAGGAGACGCACCGCGGTCCAAGTCGAAGCCTGCCCAGAAGAAACGCCGGAGCATGGAGGCATGCGTCGATCGACCTGCTCTCGTGCTGGACCGACAGACATCCTCGCCCGAAGCGCTGGAGCCGATCATCTTGGATGCAGTCGAATCGCTGGACATGCCCAGCTACATGCTTGAGCCGTCCAGCGGGGCAGACGTGATCACGTTTGCATCGGGCGAGGTGACGTTGCCAGCCGGCTCGGCAGCGCGCATGGAGGACACGCTGGTGTCGACGCCGCAAAAGCTTGCGCTTGCAGCGCTGCAGACGTTCCAGCACTCGGTGCGCGTGATGCAGCTCAACGAGTCGACCATCTCGCAGGCCATGACCGACGTGCCTGCACTACGCAACTACTACAACTCGCGCCAGCGCACCGTTTCGGTCTCGTCGGGCTCTTCCGCCAAGCCAACCCCGCCTGCCGCACCCGACGATGCCGAGCAGGCGCTGCAAAAGCTGCACGCGTCGATCCAGCAGACCGCCAATCCCGAGTACGAAAAAGTGGCCAAGCTGGTGGTGGCGAACCTCGAATTTGAGCATCATCTGCGCCTGCTGCTCGACCAGTTCCAGGGGCTCAAGGATCGAGTCGAAGGATTCAAGCAGACCCAGCTGGAGCGCACACGCACCGTCGGCGCCGACAGTCAAGCTAGCGCCTAGACGGCTGAGCTCGTATTGTATCATATTGTTCTCTCCACTGTATCAACGAACAGGACGTGGACGTGGTCAGCTTGAAGACGCGGATTTGAGCGCCGGGAAGCGCGACTGGACGATGGCGACGAGGTGCGGCCAGATCTGGTTGGAGGTGTCGCCGCGCAGGTTGACAAAGAGGTCTTGGGAGCTGGTCGTCGACGCGTCCGGGCTGGTCTGGGTGCGGCAGTCAATGTCGATGACCGAACCTGACTTTTGGCGGTAGTGCTCGAGCATGGGCTCGGTCTGGGCGTGGAAAGACTTGAGACGCTTGCCGAATGTTTCCTGTGCGTCGAGCAATGTCAGAGAGCGTCAGCGATGAGCGAGCAGGGCAAGGCAGCAGGGGCAAGGCAGAACATACGACGTTGTCATCTTCGCGCTTGGAGAGCGGTTCGCCTGTGACGTCGTCTTTGCCTTCGACCTTGGGCGGGTTGTAGGAGAGGTTGTAAACGCGACCTGATGGCAGATGAGTCCAGCGCTCTGTAGTTGCATTGGTGTCGGCGAAAGATCAGCATGCATCCTTCAAAGAAAGGCTTGGGAAAAGGGCTTCTGACTTACGCAGGATTCGGTCGAGGATGACGTCTTCGGGCACATCGAGGTTGACTACGAGGCGAAGCGGTTTCTTCTGCGCATCGAGCATCTCGTCGAGCATCTGAGCCTGTCCGAGCGTGCGTGGGAATCCATCCAGTAGCCAGTCGGCTGCTCCGAGCGTCTTGACCTCTGCGCCGATGAGGTCCATCATGACCTGATCCGGCATGAGCCCGCCCTGCTTGATTACGGCGTCGGCGCGCTGTCCGATGTCGGTCTTGCGCTGGATGTGCGAGCGCAGCACATCGCCTGCCGAGAGCACCGAAAAGTCGTAGTGCTTGAGCAGCCGCGTCGACTGCGTCCCCTTGCCCGAGCCGGGTGAGCCGACGATGAGCATGCGCATCTGGTCGTCGCTCACACGCCGTGTGGACGCAAAGCCTCGGATGGCGCCGATGCGGCTGGACTGCCCCAGCCGAGCCGTGCATCCGGCGTTGGCGAGAGGGCGAAATGCGACCTTGACCGTCATCGTGGGCATAGCAAGTGTGACAGAGGCGGAAAGGAAAGGCAGAGGATGCATCGGATGTATGGGACCCTGAGCGCTCTTTATGTGGAGCGAGCGGCAAAGTGGATTCGCGCTGTTGGCCCGGGCCAAGAGGCGATTTTCCCGCCTTTGGCAGTGAGCCGGACGCGTGCATTTTTGGCTTCCCAACAACATTTCACGCTGCTTCGCTGCCCCGCTTTCCCGGCTACCTCGCCTTCAAGCCGGAAGGACCTTCGAATTAGCTTTCTCTCTCTCTCAGCCGCCCGCTTCCCATAGCTTACGAGCGCAGGCTTGATCGGTCTGCAGGATCACCAGCTATCAACGATTGCATTCTATACACTGATCTAAGACTGATTGTGGGATCGACAGGGACCACGTCGGGCGCCACTTCAACGACCCATCCAGCCACCGTCGACGACGAGCATCTCGCCGCTGACGTACTGGCTTGCCTGGGAGGCGAGGAAGAGCAGAGGACCCTTGAAGTCGGCCGGGTCGCCCCATCGGCCCGCGGGGATGCGTTCCGAGATCTGGCGCAGACGCGTGGGGTCGGCGAGCAGCTTCTCGTTCATGTCGGTCGCAATGTAACCGGGCGCGATGCCGTTGACCTGGACGTTGTGCTTGGACCATTCGTTGCTGAGCGCCTTGGTGAGCTGTCCCACGGCACCCTTGGCCGACGCGTACGCCGGCACCGTCAGGCCGCCCTGGAACGTGAGCAGCGAGCCAAAGTTGATGATCTTGCCCTGGCGACGCGGCACCATGTGGCGGCCCGCAGCCTGGCTCAGCAGCCACACCGCCTTGAGGTTGACGTTGAGCACCTCGTCCCAGTCCGCCTCGGGGAAGTCGGTCGAAGGATGGCGGCGCTGGATGCCGCCGCAGTTGACCACAATGTCGATGGCGCCCGAAGGCGACTGGGCGAGCGCACGCTCGAACAGCGTCTTGACCTGCTCCAGGTCCGAAAGGTCCGCATCCACCGTCGAGTGCTTCTGCGACGATGCCTGGTTGGCTACCGCCGTGATCGCCGCAAGCGCGGGGTGGTTGCCATCGCTCCCTGCTGCCGTGCCTGGTCGGACGGCGAGGATGACGCTGGCACCCGCCTCAGCGAGCGCCACGGCACATGCCTGCCCAATGCCACGAGTACCGCCCGTGAGCAACGCCGTCTTGCCGGCAAGGTTGAACAGACCCAACGACGACGTCGACGGCGTTTTTTCGCATGCTACCTCGGATGTCGACATGGCTGATGATGTGTGCGTTGCTGAGCTCTTTCGGATGCTTGGTCGGTGATGCGTGCGTGGATGTGCTTGCGTGGATGTGGATGCAAGGACGTGCCTGGCAGCCAGATGAAATGTCCAAGAGGGTTTAGGTTGGGGGGGGAAACAATCACAACCCCCGGCTCATGGGATCGCTGCTTTAATACGACTGTCCCGACAGGCTGCTGCTGGTCCATCGCCGACGCACTCGCATTCGTTGCATTCTCGGTGCGGGGGAACAGGCCCGCACGAGCCGCAACCCGCGGGCGTTCGGCGACCTGGCCTCGACTGCCAAACTTGGCTGCAGGAAATACTCGCCCAGCGGTGGAGCTCTGCGGACCCTCCGGACCGCGACTCCGGTCGGCCGCCCCGTCATCGTATCGGGGGCGATTTTGGGATTCGTGTTACACCCTCGACGTCTACAATTCGAATATTTGGGGGTCACCGCTGACTCCTCTCCTCTCCTCCAGTCTAGCTTGTCGCAATGGCGACGGTGCCAACCTGTGCGGGTGGACGTGGCGAGAGCGCCAGAGCCACGTGAAATGTTGTGGCCCAGCCGGTATCATGGCTGTGCAGTACACAACCCCACGTTCTCCACCAACACAGCAGGTGGGCTGTATCCGGAGTGAGAGCCCGTGAATGCAGGTGGGCTGATCCGCAAGCAACGAGGCGTGTATTCGCACCCGCAACCCTGCCACACAGACGCCGCGACTTGCGAGAAGGATCCACGGAGCCATCCCTCCCACCACTTCAATGGCGACCTTGCGCTGATGATTGTGCTGAGAAGTCACATCGACGCCTCCGACGGGAGTACGATGCCGAACCGCCGGCGAACTGTACCTCCCGAGCGGATAAGAGCACCTGGCATCGGTCACCTCCTCGTAGACACACTGCTTCCTTCCAGCGACATCATCTTCATTCTGCTCCACAAGACGTTCTTTACCTTCGACAAAGGCGATCATGAGGCGATCTGGATCGCTCGTGTTTCTGTCTCTCCTCCTCACAATCTTGGCTGGCATCGCAGCCATGCCGGCTCGAAACCACCTTGCGGCACCCCAACAGCCGGCACAGCTGGCTCGCGGAAGTCGCGATCATGTTCGACGTGACTTGGAGGAGGAAGTGGCAGCAGGTGCCGAGGATGCTATCGAGATCTTCGAGTTCCCGCGCGTGCACGATACGTCGGAGCAGGTGCACGAGCACATTGTCGAAAACAACCTCACCTCCGCGGACGCCATCCAGAAGCTGCGAGGTGAGCGAGTCGAGCAGACCGAACAGCAGCTTAGATACTCCCGTCTTGAGCAGCAGAGCGGCGGCTCGTCGCAGTCCAGCTCCAGCTCCAGCTCAGCCTCCAGCTCCAGCTCAAGCTCAGAATAGCTGCCACACGCCCAGATGGCACTAGCGTGGCCTTCGCCGGATCTGCACTCTTTCACATTACCACATTCTACACACCCATCACGGTTTTAAACAGCGTCATCCAAGTCAGCGGTCTGTGCTGGGGGCTGCGGTCGTCAGCGTGTTGATACGGAGATCGAAAGCGGGGTCCAGAGGGTTGCTTGTCTGCATCGCTTGGCGGCAACTGATGATCTGCTGCTGACAGGGCAACAATTGCGCATGGCGAAATGAGGCTAGCCCCTCGGCGCGAATGTGGGTGCAATACTGTATAAGGCGGCGTCTTGTTATTGTTGTGACGATGCTGTGGCGGGTTGAAGCCCGTGTGGCCATGGCTTCATATCAGCCTTCCCAGCGTCGACCAGAAAGCTGGTGGGGCGCATGACCTTCATCGATGCCTCCTCCTACCTTTGCTCGCAAGACCAATCCTGCTCAGACCTTTCCCGCTTTCACTTCCCTCGAGACACCTTATCCGCTCCTTCGTGCACCAAGCTTCCCTCCGCTACATCTCGACACCCAGGCTTATACTCCCTGGGACTGGCTCTGGGAAGATCGAGCAGGATGGTGTGGCGAGCATCGGCGTTTGCCCTTGCGCTGGCATACCTGCTTAGCTTGGCGTATTCCAGCTTGGCCACTGCGGTGGTGCAGGACCCCATGGAGGCACACGCCCAAAGTTTCGGCTGGCTTGCCATTCGCAACTTCACCTTTTGCCTGTCCCGAGAGCCTGACCCGCCCAACAAGCCGTTGGGGACCCAGCCCGAAGGTAATTCACTCGGAACGTCGGACCGCAGAAAGCCTAGAACGACGGGGATGGGTGATAGCGTGGTGGTGCTCTACCATCCTGAGCAGCCACAGCAGCCAATCGCGTGGTGCAACACACTCGTCGCCTTTACGAGCACACAGCACATGAGGTGTCACACTGCACTGCCTACTTGCCAGCGCTGCGATGCCATTCGATCCGGACAGCAGGCAGGCAAAGATGGACAGCCTGCCCCGGCGGCACCTCCAGCGGGTGCACAGGCTGCGGGGCAAAGCGCAGGTCAAGGTAAAGCTCAGGACTCGGACCCAGCTAGCCATCCATCACCTGAGAACGGGGCTCGACGCAGGCTTGATCCGCCTGCAACGCAAGACCAGGACGACAGAGGCCTAGTCTCCCTCACCAAACGCGACACCTCATCCGCACCGGGCCAGAACTCCACCCCGCAGCCTGCTTCCGACAAAACAGCTCAACCGTTCGGCACTCCACGTTCTGCTACAAGCCAGGACTTTCTCGCCGACGCTACGCTGCAAGAAGCGATCCACGAGTTCCAAGACTTTTGCGAAAACAAGCTGACGCTGGCGGTGCGTGCCGACTGTCCTCTGCGCGTCGTTCGCGGCTGGTTGGACGAGCCACCCTTCGATCTGCATCGCTTTTGCTCGTCGCAGCAAGGCGATGTATGGGTTCATCACGGCCCTCGTCATCCAAACGCCGGTATTAGCACTCAGAGCAAGGATGACCAGGGCAAGGGCTCGACAAAGCAGCCCGAACCAGTCACGGGTGAAGTGCGCAGCAGGAACGTCGATCCGCACTATGAGCGCGGCGCCTTCGATCCCAACGATCCCATCGTACCCTGGCCCGAGGACAAAGGTGCATGAAGTGGCCGAAAGATCAGTCACCAGGCCGACATCGCCTGCTTACTTGGCAGGGTTTATGGGTCGCTTTTTGCAACCATGATTTTTTGGCTTTTAAATTTTCATTTCTCTCTTATCGCACATTCAGCGTGTAAAGGGCTGTAGTGGTTTGAAGCAAACCCATTGGGATCCCATCGGACGGGAGCAGGGCAAGAGTCAAGACCGGCGGGAGACGACTGCGAATGGCGAGCTGGTGTGTACGGCATGCAGGGCAAGATCGGGAGTGGTAGCGAGGCGGCGGCTGACCAAGTCGTGCAGGCCGGCCGAGTGTGGAATTTGGCGGTTGCCAGGGTCCAGAGTGGAGGCGAAGTGGATCGAGCGCACGGTCCCGGCCCTGCTCTTTCTTCCTACCAACTCCACCACATCGTACCTCTCTCTAGAACCAAAACCATCGAATCACTTGCCAACGATGACCGCCAAGCTGACTCTGCAGTCGACGTATCCGCTGGGCGAGGGCGTGGACATGCCCGTGCTCGGCTTCGGCGTGTACAAGAGCCCGACCGACGTGACGGTCAAGTCGGTCACCACTGCACTCAAGACGGGATACCGCCACATTGTACGTGCATCGCTGTTTCCCATCCTTGTGATGGCGTCCTGACCGTCCTTTCACCTTACCTCGTGTGATTCTAGGACTCGGCCCAGTACTACGAGAACGAAAAGGAGTAAGTGTGCACGTCTACACGCAGCAAATACGAACTCGGCTGACGAGCTTGGTGCGGGATGTAGGGTGGGCGATGCGGTGCGCGCATGGTGCCTCGAGACGCACTCATCGCGACGCGATGTGTTTGTGACGACCAAGATCATCGCACCTCTCAAGACGCAGGAAGAGACGCTGGCATCGCTGCGCGACTCGGTCAACAAGATCAACCTTGACGGTAAGCTGTCCCTTTGCCACACCACACTAGACCCGCAAAGTGATATACTGATGTTTTCTCCGTGTGATTGTGCAGGCTATGTGGACTGCTTCCTGATCCACACGCCTACCTCGGGCCCTGAGGGTCGCAAGCATCTGTGGGAGTCCCTCAGGGAACTGCGTTCCGAGGGCAAGGTGATCACCATCGGCGTGAGCAACTAGTACGTCGATCTCTCCTTCTCCAAAGCTCGCTGGATACGGTCGTAGCTGACAGACCTTTGTATCGTGGCGACGACAGCGGGATCAAGCATCTGCAGGAGCTGATTGACGCTGGCGAGACGCCGGCAGTGAACCAGATCGAGCTGCACCCCTGGTGCCAGCAACGCCCCATTGTCGAGTTCTGCAACAAGCACAACATTGTACTCCAGGCGTACTGCGTAAGTCGACCCGCTCCACCATGCGACGAATCCTCAGCTCACCATAATGTATTTCGGGAATGACAGCCGATCGTGCGTGGCAAGTACGCCGACGATGCGGAGCTGGTCAAGATCGCAGCCAAGCACAAGGTGGACTGGTCCCAAGTGCTGTTGCGCTGGTCGCTACAGAAAGGGTGAGTAGCCAAACAAGCCGACGGCAAAGATCAAGCTCAACTGACCAAGGAGTGGGGTGATACTAGGTTTGTGCCGCTGCCCAAGTCGGACACGCCTTCGCGCATTGCGTCCAACGCGGACATCTTCAACTTTGAGCTCGACGACGAAGACATGGCTACGCTCGATGCCAAGGACATGGGTGCCGACGGCGCCGTGGCCCCCAACCCGGTCGACTGCCCTTGATTGGCCATCTACACACGTCGAGCTCGCTCTTCGTGAATGTGCTTTGTATGTCCCAGCGTCACTTTAGACCCGTCAAAGATATGCAAAGCCGCTCGAGTGGAAGCGGACCAGAAGCGTAATGAGGCTGAGCGGATTCCCGGCCGGCTTGCAGCGGAGGAAAAAAAGTCGGGCCCGGAAGGGAGAGGACGCGAGGGACAAAAGGGCGAGAGAGGGTGCATGAGGTTGCAGATGGCGCGCATCTGTGGTGCATTCCGCTCCGTGTTGGTTTCACAGCTCCGCCGCTCAAAAAATCGGAGCGGTGCGCGCTGACCGAAGCAGCACGCTGCCAAGCGGCTCGGCAGACGCAACCATGCTGGGCTGAGAAAAGGAAGCAATTTCCAGTCCACTCTGCCAGCCCACTCTGCCAGCGGTACATTGCGCTTTTTTCACTGTCCGCAGGGTGTCGATGGTCTTCGGAGGGTCGGCAGGCACAAATGAGGCGGCGGGTCGAAGAAGGGCGCAGCTTGAGCTTGCGTGCCGAGCGGCGGATGCGCCGACAGACAATGGGCTCCAGGCGAGTCGAAACGCGTTCCGTTCGGCAGAGAAGATTGAGCCAAAAAGGAAGAGTGACGGCACGGCGCGCGCCGCTCTCGCCTGCTCGCTTGCATCGCTCCTGCATCGGCGAGGCTTTGGCTGGCTGCATTTGCAGATCAGTGCCGCCGAAACAACACACGGCGTCTAGCGAGGCGGCTTCGATTCGCCTTACTTGGCTCCTGCCGCTCCTTCTGAGCAGAAGGAGAGTCAGGCACCGCATCCCTTGCAGCAGAAGGCCCCATGTGGAATCGCACGACAATGCCGTGGCTCAGCCTCGCTTCGTGCTGGCCCCTCGTTCCTATCTCTCGACACTCGGTGCTTCCCTCTCCACCATCTCTTTCGGAAACAACAGCGACCATAGCAGGTCTGATTGAGCGCCGATCTCATCATGAAGTCAATCGCCGCCGCTTCGTTGGTGCTCGCGCTGGCAGTGCTGTCGTCGGCAGCTCCGACAGTGGCTGAGCCCATTTCGCACGCTTCCTATCGCCCTGTGAACGTGCATCGACGACAGTCGGCTGCTCCGGACGGCAGCACGGCAAGCCAGCAGGCGATCTACCAGCAGGCCTTCACCGATCCCGTCGGAGCAGCCAAGGCGGCCAACGCGCTGCCGTTCATCGCGGGCCAGTATGCCACTGGCAACCTGTACCGCTACAACCTCGTCGAGGACAACACCCAGCTGCCCTGGAACGCCAACGTGCCCTTCGTCGCCGAGGCCGCCGTCAACGGAAGCGTCGATGGCGGCTGGCAGGCGCTGCCCAACATCGAGGGCATGACGCTCAACCGCACATTTGCCGTGCAGCCGGGCGCAGTCATGCCGTTCTACCAGACGCAGGGCTACGACGCCTCCAAGGTGAAGCGCGCCGTCATGATCATGCCGGGCAAGCCGCGCGATTGCTGGAAGTACACCTCGCTGGTGCAGAATGCACTCAACGTCTACACCACCAACCCGCAGAGCGCAGGCAACAAGGCCGACGGCACCTCCTCCACCAGCGCTGCGGACAGGACCGCCAAGGACGAGGTGCTCATCCTCGGCCCGTGCTGGATGAACTCGGACGACGCATCGGCGGGTGCGATCCAGTCGGGCGAGCTCTACTGGCACGGCTCGCAGTGGCAGTCCGGCATGGCATCGCGCGGACCGGGATCGACGGCGCTGTCGTCGTACGAGGTGATGGACTCGTTCATGGAGACGCTGTTTGACAAGACGCAGTTCCCGGCGCTCGAGACCGTCGTCATGGCGGGCCATTCGATGGGCGCGCAGATGGTACAGCGCTACGCTGTGGTCAAGCAGCCCGCCGCGTACGACGCCAGCGTGTCGTACTGGGTGGGTAACCCCGGCTCGTACGTCTGGCTCACCTCGACGCGGCCCAACGAGAACAACGCCAGCTGCGCCAACGACTACGACGAGTGGGCGTACGGACTGGACGGCTCGGGCGTGCCCAACTATGCGCGCGACCGTGTACGGGACGACAAGAACGCGGTGGTGCAGGCGTTTGCCGCACGCAACGTGCACTACAACTACGGCCTGCTCGACAACGGCCAGGGCGACACGTCGTGCGAGGCATCCTACCAGGGCGCCAACCACCTCGAGCGCGGCTGCCACTTTGTCGAGTCGGTCGCTGCACTCAACGCCAACGCGCTGCCCAAGACGCACACGGCTAACTTTATGCCCAACGTCTCGCACGAGGACTACGCCATGCTCTCGTACAATATCTCGCTCTACCGCCTGTTCGAAGAGGTGCCCGAGGGTGCCACCAACACCAGCACCAGCTCCGCCAAGGGCGCCGCCACAAAGGGCCAGGGCGGCTCGTCCAGCGCGGCCGCTCCCAATGCACTAGTGAACAGCGTGGCGCTGGTCGCCGGCGCCATTTTTGTGTTCGGCCTCAGCCTGCTTTAGATGCACCGATAGACGCAGCAATGGCCATTCTGGACGCACAGCTTTGAACAACTTGCCGGTGAGTGGATCGAGTTTGACAGTTGAGATTGGGCTTTTACGAGGCAAGTGGGAGGGGGTGGGGCCGGACAATTGGCCGGCGACTGCTGCGTTGGCTGTCGTGTGCGCTCAGCTCAGCATCGCATCTTTCTTTCCCCGCACCAGCAGAGCCCCACAAACGAATTTCCAACTCCTCTCTGCTCGGCCACGTATTTTCGCAACGCACGCCGGACAGCAGCGCCGATTAGCGCCGTGCGAGGGGAGTTGGCCAGAGCGCACAGACGGCTCTCGGCAACTCGGAACAACCGATGCAGACCGCTGCTCGGCCTCGCCCTGCTCGTCCTCGTGACTGCTTCGAGCGACTCGACGTGGGCGCGCACTCTGCTCCTCCTCGCCTTCTCTCTTTCCACCACATCCCCTCCCTCATCTCTGTACCGCACGATCTTGCCCAACATGCCCAAGCCAGGACCCGCAAGTCGCAGCACGATTGCCAACCTCATGCGCCTGTCGCATGTGGCGGGCTGTCCCTGTCACGGATGCAGCGTCGCACGCGGCGGCGCCAACCTCGCGCGCGCAGGTCTCAACATGATCTCCAAGCACAACGCACAGCCCGGTGCCAATGCGCGCGGCTACGCCACTCCTGTCGACAACCTCGTGCAGAAGGAGTACGCGTTCGAGCTGGCGGCGTCCAACGTGCGCTTTGGCGAGGGCGTCACCAACGAGGTGGGCATGGACTTTGCCAACATGAAGGCGCGCAAGGTGGGTGTCTTTACCGACTCGACCGTGCGCGGCCTCACCGCCATGAAGCAGTCCATCGAGGGCCTCGAAAAGGCTGGCGTCAAGTACGAGGTCTACGACAGGTGCAGGGTGGAGCCCAACGAAGAGTCGTGGTCCGATGCGATCAAGTTTGCGCGCGATCAGGACTTTTCGCACTTCCTCGCCGTCGGTGGCGGTAGTGTCATGGACACCTGCAAGGTCGCCAATCTCTTTACGTGCTATCCCGAAGCCGACCTGCTCGAGTTCGTCAATGCACCCATCGGTCGTGGCACGCCCATCGACAAGGTGCTGCGTCCGCTGCTGTGTGTGCCCACCACCGCGGGTACCGGATCCGAGACTACGGGCACCGCCATTTTTGACCACACCGCCACCGAGTCCAAGACTGGCATTGCGTCGCGCGCGTTGCGTCCCCTGCTCGGCATCGTCGATCCGCTCAACACCGAGACGTGCCCAACGGCGGTGCACGTCAGTGCGGGTCTCGACGTGCTCTTCCATGCGCTCGAGTCGTACACGGCCATCCCCTACAACGAGCGCATGCCTCGCCCCGCCAACCCTATCCAGCGCCCCGCCTACCAGGGCCGCAACCCCATCTCGGACGTATTCTCGCTCTGGGCGCTCAAGCAGACTGTCAAGTACCTCCCGCGCGTCGCACGCGACCGCACCGACGCCGAGGCGCGCGGTCAGATGCTCCTCGCCGCCACCTTTGCCGGTATCGGCTTCGGAAACGCCGGTGTTCATCTGTGCCACGGTATGTCGTACCCGATTTCGGGCCTCAACAAGAAGTTTGGCAAGTACCAGCATCCGGGATACCAGGTGGACCATCCCATCGTTCCCCACGGCATCTCGGTCGCACTCACCGGCCCTGCCGTGTTCGACTTTACCGCACCCTCGGCTCCCGACCGCCACCGCGAGGTCGCTGCGATCTTTGAGGGGTACCAGAACGGAAGCGAGGCGACCGACATTGCGCGCCTGCCCGATGCCGAGGTGGGCGCGCTCGTGTACGACCGCATCGCCGCCTTCCTTGCCGACCTCGGCGTGCCGCGCGGACTGTCCAAGATCGGCTACGGAAACGAGCACGTAGAGGCGCTCGTCAAGGGCACCATCCCGCAGAGGCGCGTGCTCGACCTCGCGCCCGGCATCGGCGACGTCCACGGTGCAGATGGACACGAACACCTCGCCCGCATCCTCGAAAAGTCGCGTAAGTACCGGGTACAAAGTGCAGGGGAAGCAATCGACTCGACACTGACCACTGCCCTTTCTCAACCATCTGCACAGTCTCGTACTAAGCAAGAGTGCCAGTGTGGTGTCTTGAATGTGCTGATCGCAATCGAGACGAATTTGTTATCGGCATCGGCAACCGATCGGGGCGTGGTCTTGGAGTGCGGACGAGAGTGCAATGGTGAGACTTGAAGGCCTACTGAGCAGGTTGAATGCGGAAGCCGAAGTGTGGAGCCGCAGTCGTGATGGCAACTTGCAGCGACGCAGCCGGTGCGCCGTGATGGAAAAAGTGGAGGGAAGCCGCGCGTGAAACTCGGCTTTTGGATCAAAGCTGCATTGTCCTTCCTGCCTTCAAAAAGGCGGCTTGTGCGAGGACTCTTCATGCTTTGCTACCGTCACCATCACGACTTTGTCTCAACATGTCGTCGTACCTCTCTTCGCAAACGTGGCTCAAGGACCTCATCTCGCCCTTCACGGGCGGCAAGGATCCGTTTGCCAACCTGTCGTGGATCGGCGTTCTGGGCGCACTCACGCTCGCAGCGCTGCCGCACTGGTACACCATCTACCTCGCCGAGAGCAACAAGGTGCAGGGCGGATGGTCCAACGTCAACCCGCGCTTCTGGGTCCAACAGCTCATCGCCAAGTCTGCCACCTCCAAGCTGTCCGAGCTCGAGCTGTTCATCCTTCGCGGTCAGAGTTGCCAGGCCAATGCATTCGAAAACGCTCCCCTCTTTGCTGCCACCCTCATCTGGGCTAACTACACCGCTCTGCCGCTCGCGACGATCAACAACTTTGTCATCGCTTACCTCGCTTCGCGTGCGCTCTACACCGTGCTCTACCTCAACACCACCTCCAAGGTCAACAGCTTCGCCAGGACCATCGCATTCAACTTTGGCATCGTCCACATGCTCTCCCTCTGGATCCGTGGCGGTCTCAACATCAGCCCCAGCCTCAAGTAAATTCCCCCCCATCACACAATCTAGACACGCACGTAGAACAGAAAGGGGAATCCACTGATATTCCATCGAGAGATCATAGCTTCGAGGCGAATCGGGCGCGCAGTACGTTCTTCTGCACCTTGCCCGTGCTTGTCTTTGGCAGTTCATCGACAATGTCGAACCACTCTGGCACGGCAAAGCCCGACATGCGCTCCTTGCAGTGTTTCTTGAGCAGCTCTACGAATTCGACGTTCTCCTTGCTCCCCTTGCGCTTGAGCGCCTCTGCGTCGAGTTTCGCCTTGGCCTGCTCGGTGAGTACGACGAAAGCCTGACCACGTTCGCCCCACTTTTCGTGCGGGCGCGCAATCACGCAGCACTCGAGCACATCCGCATGTGCCGCCAACTCCTGCTCCACCATGAGCGACGAGATGTTCTCGCCCCCCGAGATGATGATGTCCTTGCCCCTGTCGAGGATCTGAATCTCTCCACCAGGATGGCGGACAGCAAGATCACCCGTGTGGAACCAGCCTTTCATGACGGCCTTGTCCGTGGCGGCTTGGTCGTTGTAGTATCCGATCATGGTCATGTTTCCACGCACCACGATCTCGCCCGTTTCCTTGCCGTCGCGCGCGACGTCGATGAGGTCCGAAGTGGTCTTGTCGTTCGACGACTCGGTGCGCACCACACGCACCTCGTCCGAAGTGAGGTACGAATGTCCCTGGCGTGCCATCATCCTTGCGCGCGCGTCCACGTCGAGTTTCGCCCATTCGGGCTCAAAGTATCGTCGTGTAAACGGACCGTACGTCTCGGTCAAGCCGTACACATGGACAGGGTACAGATTCAGACTCTCCATCTTGGCCAGCAGGTTGGCAGTGGGAGCCGAAGCAGCTACGGCGACGTTGACGCGGCGATCCAGCTTTCGCGCATCCGGGTGGTTGGTGAGTCCGATCTGCACCGTGGGTGCACCGCAGTAGTGCGTGACGCCGTGGTTGACCAGCGCGTCCCAGATCACCCTGTTGTCCACCTTGCGGATGGTGTGGTGGGTCGCCAGAGACGCGGTGACCGCCCAGGGGAACGTCCAGCCGCACGCGTGGAACATGGGCAGCACCCACAGGTACACGCTGTCCTGCGTGATGTTCGCCTCGAACGCGTTAGCCACCGCAGCGAGGTAAGCGCCTCGGTGGTTGGTGAGCACGCCCTTGGGCCTGCCCGTCGTTCCGGACGTGTAGCACAGTGCGATGGGCTGCTCCTCATCCTGCGGCGCGTCGATGAGCTTCCACCCAGTCTTGGGCTCCGCAGTAGGCTTGGACGACTGACGGTGCTTGTCGATCTGCGCCTTCTCGGCGCGCTGCCACTCGACCCAGCCACGGTCGAGGAACTGCTCGTACGCGTCATCCGCCTCCTGTCCACCCGAATCCTTGCTGATCACCACCGTGATGCCTGGGCCGGGGTTCTCGGGCACCAGGTGCTTGAACTCGTGGTCGGCGAGAATGATGGTGCTTCCGGAATGCTCGAGCACGTATGCGACCTCCTTGGGCGTATTGCGGATGTTGATCGGCGTGATGATACCGCCCGCAGCAGGGATACCGTAGTGGGCATCGGCAATCAGCGGCGCGTTGGGCGAGATGACCGCCACCCTATCACCGGTCTTGAACCCTGGCACGGCGCGCAGCGCAAAGGCGAGCGAGAGCGTACGTGCGGCCCACTGCTCGTAGGTGAAGCCGTAGCCGCGCTCGGGGTGGGTGATGGCGAGCTTGCGCGGTGTGATGAGCGCTGCGCGCAGCAGGAACGACACTGGCGTCAGCGACGAGCGGTAGTGCGACGTGCCCGGATGCGTCGAGAGCGACAGCTCGAACGGAATCGACGTGGGAGGCTGCGACGAACGCGGCGGCGTATACGGCATGGTTGCAGTGCTAACGGCTCGAAGAAGAGGATGGACGTGGTTGGGTGCCGAAGAAACGAGCCGCTTGGGCAAAGGCGGGTATTTAAATGCCAGCGTTGGGACGAGATGAGACTGACCGGCTATTCCTGCGGGCTTGACGGGGTGGGGAAGCAGACGAGCCGTGCCAAGCTCACCCGCAGCACCTAATTTGGTTCATCCGAGCAAGGCTCGCCTCACGTCGAAATGTGGGGTACCGGTGCGCACGAGCTCATGCCAACCTGCAGCCATTCTTCCGGATTTACATGCCCAAGCCCTCCCACACCCAACATCGCAACGTATTAGGCTGTCTGGCCGTAGTGAGCCTTGCTCATCTGTCCGAATGAGCCTCAAGCCCCGCCGCAAAGGTTGTTGCGATAAGGCCAACTCGCCACCACGGGCCGAAGAGCCGGGAGGAAGCAACAAAGTGTTGGGCTGTCACATCTGACCGGGTGCGGCAGCAGAGCGGCTGTCCGATTTCGATGTCGAGTTTCCCCTTTTTTCCCTGTCCTACCGGCTGGCGGGCGCATTGCAACTTCCGAATGCCGGCCACGCGCGCCAAAACCGTGCGCACGAGCCCGATTCCGCCTTGTCCGACCCTCGCACAGACTGTCACCAGGACGACACCCCGTGCCACCCTACTGGTACCGCCCAAAATCCATACTGCTGCTGTCATACCCCACTACGGTGTTTTTTTCAGAATGAGGCTGATCGCGCTCGGATCTTCTTTTGCTGCGGGGCCTGGAATTGCGCCCCAGGTGGATGCAGCTGCTGGGCGCAGTGGCAACAACTATCCGCACCTGCTTGCGCGTCGTCTGGGGCTGGATAGCAGCCACTCGACACAGCTGCTCGACTTGACCGTCTCGGGCGCAACGATGCTCAACCTCATCTCGGACGATCAAGATACGGGCGACAAGGTGTTTCCACCCCAGATATCGCTGCTTCCACCAGCCGACGATGACGACCAGACCATCATCACCGTGACGGGCGGGGGGAACGACATGTTCTACATCGGCAGCATGTTCGCCCGCACCCTCTCAACCACCCTCTGGGGCCGCATCTACTCCTACCTCTTCATGACGCAAGACCAGAAGCAGGGGTTAGAAAATCCAACCATCGCCTCCCCCGACCAGGTGGTCGAGAGGTTCAACGTCTTGCTCGATGATCTTCACAAAAGATTTCCCCGTGCTACAGTGTATCTGGTCGAGTACTTTGCCATGATGGGTCCGGAAACAGTGGGTGGCAAGCACGTAGCTTGGTCGCAGGACCAAGTCGAAACATACAAGCAGACCGCGAACCAGCTCAAACGGATCTATGCACAAGCAGCGGAAGGCAGAGAAAACGTACACATCGTCCCGCTCGCACAGGTGAGCTACGAGCATGCCATCGGATCGAAACATCCCTGGGTCTCGGACGGCTCCATCCTCAACTTTTACCGCCGCGGCGCCTTCCATCCCAACCTCGCCGGCATGAAAGCAGCCGCCGACCTCATCTACGATACCCACCAAAGATTGCACACAAAAGCATAATCCCAGAAGCAGCATGCCACCATCGCAATCACAGCTCCAAGCGGTATGCAAAGCAATACCACCGTGAAGAGAGCCAAAAAGAATATCGAGAAGAAGGTGGTGGGAAGCTGAAGGAAATTTCAAATGGCGAAAGTCGGAGCCGTCAAAAACGAGTTAGACTAGGTGGGGTTCGAACCCACGAACCCGAAGGACGAGGAAAGGATACACCGCAGCATCTGCGGGTCTCGGCGTCCGGAGCCTGTGTCCTGCGCCAAAAGGTTTAAATCTTAAATCTCGCGCGTTTGACCACTCCGCTACTAGTCTGCAGCATGTGCCCTGCGGCAAATTTTGCGTACTTATTCTGCCTTGACGCGTCCGCAAAATGTCGTGGGAGATGCTGCCCCTGCCATCTTTGCCGAAGGCACTCTGTCGCAAACCCACGCTTCATACTATCCTAATGTACCTCGAACGAGAGAAGGTGAGGAAGAAAGAGTCCATGTGCATTGACGGTGCAAGTGATGCAAGAGATGCGATACAAGAATGAAAACGAGGACGACACAGCTAACGTGATGGGCTAATGTCAGTGGGACCAGCCCGCGGGGGTGGCTTCAATGCAAAAGTTTGGAAAGTTTGGACACGAGAATCAGATGCGTCGCGGCTGGTCGGTCAGCTCGTACGACTCTCCCATGCCAGCATGACGACGTGCGGCGGCATACGGAGGCGCAGGTCCCGACGAAGACGTGGGCAGGCCCGGGTTGCGCAGTCGGCCCTGCTCAAGTGCGTTGGCAGGCGACAGAGGGCGCGAGGGCGGCGCCGTGCCGGGCGCAGTGCCCGCATCGTGGGCAAGGTCATCGAACACGTCCTGACCGCCGATCGCGGCTCCCGAGTCCATGAAGCGGTAGGCGCGCTCGCCTGCGCCCAGCGTGTTCTGTACGCCTGCCTCGGCGGTGGTGGCAGTGACCGACGCGTCGGGCGGCGGGTAGGGCACCATGGTGACGTGGTTCGTGGTGACTACGTTCGGGTCGCCCTTGGGTCCGTATATCTTACACTCGGCCAAGAAGACCTTGAGCTGGCACAGCCATCGGTTGCGGCGCTGCGCCTTGAGGCCGCCCTGCTGCCAGTTCGACTTGTATCGGATGCCCGCCGACAGAAGCATGCTGCCCTGCTCGAGGAAGTCGACCACGTTGATGTCGAGACCGGGCAGGAAGTCACGCTTCTCGCCCTCGAGCCAGTGCACCATCTTGGTGCGGAGGGCCTCGATCTGTGCAAACGTCGTGCCGTACGCGACCTCAAACTTGAACGTCTCCTCGATCGCGCCAGAGCGTCGCAGGTTCACGATGGGTTTGGTGGCAAGCTGCGAGTGGCTGATCATGACGTTCTTGCCGTTGGTCGTCTTGAACACGGTGGTGAGCAGTCGCATCTCCTTGACGATGTACGAATCTTCGCCTACGTCGACGCGGTCGCCGACATCGTAGGGGTGCTTGATGAACAGGAAGATGATCGCACCGAGAGTCTCCTGCGCGGTGCTTCCGATGAGCCATGAGAGACCGAGGATGAGTGTACCGAACGACGTGACGAGGGTGCTGAATGCGACGGAAAGCATGGCAGCGATGATGATGGCCGAGATCAGAATGAAGACGCTCATGAAGATCGAGTCCAGTCGTCCCACAGCCGAGTCGACGTCGCGCATTGACAGCTGGAGCGCCATTCGCTCGCGGTGGATGTCGATGCACGCCGCCTCGAGCTCGTCCTTGGTAATGTCGCCGTTGAGGTCGCGGTCGAAGATTTCGAAAGCAGCCTCAGCAGTGATGGCGTCGGGGAAGCAGTGGATGATGTCGTCGACGATCAACTCGGACTTGCCAGGCGGGCGGAAGCTGTACCAGATCCTTCGGGCGAGCGCCTGCGTCTGCTTGCGCGAGTTGAGGGATGAGGCGACCACCGAGCGGGGGTTCCCGGCCTGAAGCACTCCCTGTCCGGCGATCTCGCTGGCGACGGTGCCAAGCACACTGGTGCTCTGGAGCGCCACGTCGCGCACCTTTGCGCCCGTCTTGCGCAGACGGGCACGTGCGAGATGAAGCCCCGTGGATTTGCGTTTGGCTTCTTGCTCGGCAGCCATGTACGTGTCTTTGCGGTTGAGGTTCTTGGAATTCTCGTAGAGGGTGGTGAGCACCTTGACGTTGAACTTGGACGTCTGGATGCGGTCCTCGTACGAGACGCGGTGAAAGTTGTAGGCGATGCCCTGGATAAAGAGCTTTTCGGCGAGGAGGATGGCGGCACTGAGGCAGACGCCGAACCAGAGTCGGTAGCCGGAGAGCATGATGTCGCTTGTGGACGGCCACGAGCTTTGATCGTTGGTGTTGATGTAGGTGGTGCGAGAGGACGAGGAGGACGACGTGCTGGTCGAGGTCGAGTTGCCGGGTGTCAAGGGGGCTGCCTCGATGGCTGCCTTGTCTGCGCCCTGGAAGTTGCCGATGACGATGGCGAGCCAGAGCGCAAAGAGCAGGATGGTCCAGAGGAAGAAGGCAACGTACTTTTCGGTGACGATGAGGAACTCGGTGTATCGTCGCATCTTTTGGTGGAGGTTTCCGACGGTCCATCGGAGGATGCGGGGGATCATGATGGCGCCAACACGGCAGGCCCACCAGCCGATCCAGATGGAACTGAGCCAGATGGACCACCAGAAGATGCCGACGTCGAGCACCTTGGGGTCGCGGAATTGGTTGGCGGGTCTGGCATCGTAGACGAGGAGGGCAAGGATGCCTGGGATCCAGAAGAGGGCGGTGGGGATGAGGATGTAGAGGAGCAAGCGGACGGAGGGGTGTCCGAGCTGAGGGCCCGCGCTGTGCTTGCCGTTGAGACCGACAAAGCTAGCGTTGGCGTTATCTTGCGAGTAGCCTGCACCCTTGAGAAGACGCTCCCAGGAGTCGCTGTCCTGGCGCTTGAAGCCGGGTCGCTTGGACACGGACGCGGGTTGTGCCTTGTTGGCGCCAGCCTCGAAGCGCCTCGACATGTCGGTAGAGTGAGAAAACTGTTGCGTGTGTCGCGTGGCGGCGCCAGCCTGAGTGGGAGGATACGTGTTGGAGGCGTCGGAGCCAGCGTCGTTGGTCCACTGGCCTGAGCCGCCGTAGTTGCCCGGGTAGTTTTCGTACTCCTTCTCGGAAGGATAGTCGGCGACATTGTCGTAGTACGAGGACGAGCTGACGCCTTGGGCGGCGAGGGGGGCGTCGTAGGTGCGAACGGGGTTGTGAAGTGTAGCATTGTCGTCCGAGCCTCTGCTGCCTGCAGCAGGTGGTGGAGCGGAACCGCCAGGCACGCGAGTCCACGGCGCCGACATGGTGTCTACGTGATCAGGGTGCAGACCGGATCGAGTGGTGTCGAGCTGATGGGCAGCAATGCCAGAACTGTAGAGGCTGGGGCACCGTCTGAATGTCTAGGAATGCGGAGAGTGGGTAGAAGAGATGGAGCGGGTGGAGCAAGCTGGATGTGGGAGAGATAGGTGGGTGAAAGGGACTATAACGTCGCACTGACTGCTGGCAGACTGCCGCCTGCAAGCGCGGCCCGCACGCTGCAGCCGCCTCGCAGCTCGCTCTCGCCCTTGCTGCTGATGCTGAGAAGGAGCGCCTCGTGTTGGTCCTTGCGCCTCGCTCCCTCTTGACTAAGGGGCCAAATCACGCGGACAGGCCTTGACTATGCATCAAATGAAAACTGTCGTCGTCGAAAAGGGCAGAAGGCATGGAAACCGGCCAACGCGACGGGCAGGGGGGCAAGGCGGAAGAGCAGAGGGTCGGCGCAGGTGTTGGTTAAAAAAAGTAACAGTCACACAATTCCACTGAAACCCCAGGGGCACTCACTGCAGCGAAAAAAGGGGGCCGGCCAGCGCGACGACACAGGGAAGATGAACCCCTAATCTGCAGCTCTACGTCGTGGCGCGGCGGCGTTGCCGAAGTGCAAACGTGAGTAGAATGCGCCACCGAACTTTTGGCAATGCTTTGAATTTAGAGCTTGCTTTTCGCGATGCTTGAAACTTCGGCTGCTGCCTTCGGTGTCCTTGGATGCGTCTGCCGTCCCAAATCTGACGGGGTTCTAAGCACATCACCCATCCTCATCACGCCCGACCGAGGGCACGACCCGTGAGCACGGCCGTGATGCAGCGCCGTCTCGCATGTGGATGCTGTCAAAAAGGATGTCTGTGCGCGGGAAGAATGTGATCTTAACGAGAGAAATCGACAAACGACGGCCGAACCCAAACTCGTAGTGATGTCAGCCCGGCCCCCGTTTGGCATCGGAAGCTCCGATTTCAGCGACGGCCTGAGCGGCGCAGCGTCGTCTGACGGCGCCGCGGGAGTCCGTCGCTGCATCCTTGTTCATCGACGATAGCCACGGCACATCCGTCTGAGGCGTCCCATCGAGAGCGCAATCGCAATGAGCAGAGTCAACGGTGCTGGAAGCTGCAAGCTTAAGGTCTGCCCGTCGGCATGGCGAAGCGTCGCGGACGGCATCGGAAGTTCGATCGAGGGCCGTGAGAAAGACGCCGAGATGTCACGGCGGCATGACCGAGGGAGCCATCGGCAACGGCACAGCGGCACTGTCACAGCGCGCCGGAGCCAGACTCCGATCCACTCGGCACCACACCCGAAGAGGAAGCGATTTCGCGCTGTGTTTACTCAGCAGTTGTGAGATCGTCATTCCCGTCATCGTCTTGGCGCAAAAACAAAATCAGCTGCATCCGCCGCGCTGGGTTTCATGCAGCCGCCAGCGTGCCAGCGAGCGGGCCTTTCCTCCACCGCATCGCGGAAGGCGCAGTTGCGCATGTGCCGGACCGCGTGCTCCATCGCTTGGCACCCGACCGCATCCTTTTGCTGCTGACCGAGCTCATCGGATGGTGCCGACTGCGACCGAACCACCGCCGCACTGCCTGCTAACCATCGCTGCTGCACGGACTACACCTCATCCTCGACACATCACCAAGATCTAGCTGCAGCAAGGTCAGCTCGTTCGCAGGTCGCCATCTAGGAACGCAACCACGCGCAACGGCGGAGCAGGATCCTTCATCTTCGGCTGGAGCCTCTCCTTTCTTTCATCGCTCGATACACCACGCCTGGAATCCACACCCAGCCTGCGCACGCGCCGATGCCATTTCTGTCGGCGACACCCAGCACCATGGACTCTCTGGCGGCGGATGCCAATGTGCACCAGGATGCACCTTCGGGCATCATTTCGCTCTCTTGGGCGTTCCTTGTGATCCCATGCATCTTTGTCATCATCGCCTTTGGCTGGATCATTTACAGCTTCGGCAATCCCTCTGAATTTGCCCAAGCGAACGGCCTCAACACCGGTGATGACCATGGCTTTGGAGACGACCAGGACGACGACGAAAAGGACCAGCTGCTGGACCGCTTCACAGAGACACAGTCGCATGCTTCTTCGTTCAACGCGACACAACTACCTGCAGCCTCGTCGTGGAAGATCAGCGGCAAATTCAGCACGACATCTCGAGGAGGCTCCGTCTATACATCGTACCCCGACCCAAACAGCAGCTCCGGTCATGCGTCTCGAAACTCCATCTCGTCGTCACCCAAGTCCAAACGTCTGAGCCTCAATGCTGATGGCAAGCCGGCTCGTTCGGTTGGTAGTAAGGCCGCCAAAGCGCTGGCACTCAATCGAGATCGTATGATGCAGGACCTCGAGAACGTAGATCCGATCGACCGCGAGGAGCTGCAACGCTCCTCGTCTCGTGCTAGCGATACTCGCAAGTCCGATTGACCCGCATCTCGGCCCCGCTCTTCATTTGTCCGCCGCATTGCATTCCCACCAGCACCCTCCGTGTATTTTTATCTCCTCGCTGCAACTTCATACGTCTCAGAAAAGCGTGGCATACTTTCCACCACGGCTCGCCATGTTCTCAGGATTGCATGCGAGTCTCGACCAGCCTCAGCATTGTCCTGAGCGTGTTCCGACGCAAAGCGACCTGGGCGTGTTTGCGTGGGGATCAACCTTGAATGTTCCGACAAGGCGCTTGGACCCCACCCTCATTCGGTCGTGGCATTGCCAGGCAATTAATGAAGCGCCATTAGGGGCGGTGGAACCGGCAAGGTGGGCAGCCGCCTGTCATCATCTCGACCGGACCATTTGAGCCCACTTCAATCGCCAAGGTTGTGCGGCTCACTCCTAAGCCCACCTTGAGCCTTTGTTCTCTTCCAACGACAATTGGAGGCGCGGCTGAAGCGTATAAGAAGAAGCTGGGAGCCGTTGCAAAAGTCTGAGCGGCTCATCGACAGTACTAGCCGCCTCTTCCTCTTCAACATGGTTGCCATTCGCCGCCTTGCATCTGTCACACTATGTCTCATTGTCATCGGCCTTGGGCGGGCCGAAATGACCGAGGTAGATAGGAACAATTGGCTTGCAGCGACTCGAAAGTACATTGGCCTGCACGACAAGGGTCTCTTTACGTCGTACCGCACCAATCTCGACTCGTATGCAAGCGTGGAAGACTTGCAGCGAAAAGCACTCGAGCGGGCCAAGAGAACCGGCGTGATTCACATCAGCACTCTCCCCGCCGACCCAGAACATCCTTGGGGCGTCACCTACTTTTCCAGCGTCATCAAATCAGGCACTCCGCTCGCACACGAGATGGGCCTCGGAAACAAAGTCGCCCTTGCCTTTTGGAAGCACGATGACAACATTTTCCGCCTCCTTCACATCGATACCCTGGGCCCGTCCAAGTCCGAAGTCGTCTGGCCAGTGCAGCCTTTCAAACAAGTTGTGGACGGCAACCTATCCGAGTTCGAGCGCTTGCACATCTAGCCTGTCGGTAGATCGACCCCCTTTGTTCAAGCATCGTCTTTGCGCTCAAATCGAATCAGTGCCCTCCTTTGGGCGGCCCTAGAGGTCACCAAGAAGCTGTGCGCTTTGTCTGAGAGATTGACAAGCTTTGCGCCCGGCCCTGAACGGAGGACCGTGGAAGGAATTAGGTTCTTTCCGCTTTGGCGCAAATTGAATGCTGAGCCAAAGTTTACGCTCCGAGAGCCGGCAATCCTGCCAGCGAATCGCATCGACAAAGCGACACATCTGAGGTATTCACGAGTACGCTGCTCCAGCGCCAAGATCGTTCGTCCTGCTTTGCCAGATGACACTCCCTGTGAGCCGTGGATCACGCTTGTCCAAAATGGGCCCACTTCTGACTGGATAGGCTCAGAGCGCATAGTCCGTCGCTCAATGAGCACGTACTATATAAGACACTCGTTATAAGTGATCACACCTTCTTCGCGCACACCAACTCTCACTTTCCTCCAGGCCCGCCTTCTCGACAGATCTTCGAGCCGTCTGCATCGCCCTAGAAAGGCGCACGCGGCCCACTGACGAAGACGCCGTTCGCTTTCTGTAAGCAGCTTCGCAAAACTCACTGCAGTTCCGTCTCCTGCTGCTGAATGCCCATACTGACGATCTTCTGATCATCGATTGCCGAAGGACGACACTACACTAGCCACCCTAAGCGAAAGCCGACAATCTTCTGCAAAGTACGCTAGCATGATAGGAAGCTTCGAGCCTTCCTCTGCTGAGGACACGAAGGCAGAGGACGAGAAGACAATGCCAGATCCCGACCCGAAGAAGGCCAAGCACTCCGTTCGCATGTGGACGGAAATCGTCTCAGGGGAAAAATTCGGACTCAGCGTGGGTTACCTCACGGATCGCTCTGCTCCATGGTCCAAGATTCCATTCGAGACTGTACTTCGACCGCATGATTGCCGCTCAGGAGACGGTCGCAGCTTTACTTTGGACGAAATATTGGAGATCATCGGCGAAGTTGCGGCAATCTTTAAACGCGAAAAAGGCAAATATGCATGCGAGACGCCCTTGATCCACTTCAAGGGTTGTGATGCTCATATCACGATCCGCGACAGTGCACTCCTGGAAGCCATATGGAAGAAACAGCCTGTCTTCCGAGGCAAGAGCATGAAGCTGGTGTCGAAAGGCTTCTCTGAGAAAGACGTTACGGTCTTCTTCGCCTGGGGAGTGCGAGCGATGAAGAAACCCGACCTCATGAAGAGCATCCCGGACCGCACCAAGGAACAGGCAGCGCTCATCCTGGCCAACATGTATCAAGTGGATGAAGTAGGCGGGGAAAAGTTCTACAGGGCCGAGCCTATTTTCAGCGGCCACATGATCTTCTTCGGCAGAGCGACGTTTAACGAAAGAACCTTTCTTGACAGGTCCCTCAAGAAGATTGACTACCCTCTGATCGATTGATCGCCATGTTTTCCGTTGAAGTCCCTGATGCAGCTGCCTCCTTGCACTCCGCTCCGCATTTCTCATTCAATAGCATCTCATTCTTTCTTCCACAGCCTGGGCAGCCTTCGTGTAGTGCGACGGCCAGAAGATCGGAACAAAGAAGACCGGTACGCTGAGATTGGTGCTGTCTGCTTTTCCCCGGTCCGACGATGGACCCCAAACTGCCTGTTGTAGACGCATGCGCTCTTCCTTGGTGGAAGGATGCTGCTCGAATGAACGACCAGGCTGGGCGAGCCCGAACGCGAGGAGAACGAATTCAGGCCTCCGCTATGCACAGATTGTAGTCTGTGACAGCTTCGGTGGTTCCTTTCCGCGTGCGCCAAAAAAGAGTCGCAAATGGCGGCCGAAAATGAAGCTACACGGATGCTCATTTCGGCGCTGCGCTTTTCCATGCCAATGAGGAGGCGACAGGTGAGATTGAGGCAGGCTCGAAACCGGCGTGGATTGCATGCTGGACAGCCAAGCCCCGTAAGCGCTTCAATGATGGGCTGTCCATCGGCACGAAAGCCACGTCTTTTCTCGCTGCCCTCCGGCGCGCATCACCCTTCTTCGGGGGTCTTCCGAAAAAAATTGCGATCGAGAAGCTTGTCAAGCCAGTAGAAATTCAGTCTACGGCAGGGTTGACTTTGTGTCGAAGTGCATAAGCTCCGAGCTTGCGGCTGGGTTGTATGCTACGGATGTGCCGATATGTGGCTGCGAGCGTGGATTAGGACTTTGACACATGCAAACGCTCTGCGCAGAACGCAAAATGACCCGCGCCTTTGGCATGCAGAGCAGACGCTTAAAGAGAACCCAGATTCCTTGCTCACCTCGCATTCGATCTGTCCTTCTCACCTCAACCTCAAAGGAGCGCTTCGTAACCTCGTCTCCCCCGTGATGCCGAAGAGGGCTCGCACTAATTCAAAGACTTCCAACAACAGCCAAGTGAGCACAACATACTTCAACGCGGTTCTTTGTTGGCACGAATACTGACTTTGTTGTCCGCATCATTACCTGAGGCATCTTCTAATGCGTCGACGATCCGCGGTGACGAAGCAAATGCCGGGTCAGC